ACTGTCTTGGATACTCATCACCTCATTTCTTCTTCCCCCTCTCAGGTACACACTAATGTGTGGCAACCCTCCATTTGAGACTCTTGACTTGAAAGAAACCTACAAGTGTATAAAGGAAGTTCGGTACAACCTGCCCTCATCGCTCTCCCCCGCTGCACAGAAACTCATTTCAGGCATCCTGCAGAAAAACCCCAGTGACAGACTCACCCTGGATCAAATCCTCAGCCATGAATTCTTCAAAGTATGTTGATGCTTTTTTTTTGTGCAATTTTTGATTAATTGATAAGACTTTTGTGTTTTTTAACTTGCCTTCTGTCTCTTTTTCAGGGTTACACTCCTGACAAACTCCCCCCCAGCAGCTGTATGATGGTGCCAGAGCTCCATCCTCCTAGTCCGGCCAAGAAGTTCTTCACTAAAATGGCAAAGAGCCTCTTTGGCAAGAGGATGACAAAAGGTAAGCAAAAGCAGGAGACGCACTCTTTTCAGTTATTGTATTTATTTATTTTATTCATTCATCAAGCAATTTCATCAGGGGAGGGAGGAAATGTTTTTTTATTTTATTTTTTTATTTTTATTATTTTTTATTTTTTGTGGTTTTAAAAATGACACCAAATCTTTGCAGTGGAGAAGATTCCATGTGAGGAAAAAGATGACAAGGATATTTCAAAGCTTGTGTCAGGCATTGTCAAATGCTCCATCAACCGACAGATCAGCTACAAAACAGTGGAAGCCAATGAGGTACGTTGTTGGTCCTTTTCACCTAATTTTGAAAGGAATTTTTTTTTTTTTTTTTTTTTCTTGAAAGGAAAAACGGAAATCCGTTCTGTGGTTTGGTAGCATTAGTAGTAAGGCATCAAGAGAATAAATCAACTTTAGAGCAGACAGGCTGTAATGACTGAGAACTGCTTTTCATCCTCCGATTTGATTGGAGCTTCTTTAGCAGAGAATCATAGATTATCTGAATATAGAACAGCTTTGATAATTTTGCAGCATATTTAGTTTCAAAAGCATCATCTTCTTGAAATTATGTTGGGGAAAAAAACACCCTGGCACATTCTGCCAAATGTTCTTCATGTTATTAGTTATTCACAACCAGAGCAGAGTTTAAATGCCAAAGCAGCAGGATGTGCAGTTGGCCTATCCCTAATCTGGATGGTCTAGTTTCTATTTATGGAGGCTGACAGAAGCTTACATTGTTTGTTGTTTGCAGTGAATATTTCTTTTCCAACATGGTGAACCTGTTCTGAGAAAAATGGATGGAGCAGGGGGTTTTGAGTCCTTAGAGGCAGGTTAAACAGCTTAGTCATAACATTCCGTTGGTGGATACACAAACGGACACAACTTGTGAAAGTGTTTTCACCTTCTGGCAGATACATCAAATGTAACAACTCAAACCAATATAACTTGTAGTTTAAGGTGTGGCAGACATGGAAAAACAAACTTTCCCAGTTTAGGAAGGGTGCAAGAATGATCTTATTCACCATAATGTTTCACATTGTTATGTTTGTCTGTTTTTAAAATTCACAGTATTTTTGCTTTTTGTCATAAATGAGCTTTTTTATTTTATTTTCTTAAACCAAATCTTTGTGGTATTTCTCAGGTGGCCTCTCCCACTGGTCAGGTCATCAGTCCTGTGCCTCTGGAACACACTCCGGCCGAGGAGGAATCCAGGAAGTCCATGTCACGCTCCTTTAAAGGGACAATGGCCAGCAGCTCAGAACGTAGGTTTTAACCCCCGACCCCCAACCCCAAAAGAATAAAAAGTATTTGTCTTCGTTTTTTCCTTATCAGCGTTTTGCTTATCCTCTCTCCAGCCTGTGAGGATGTCCTGACCCCTGCAGCTGTTTCTGAAGCAGCTGTGAAAGTTCTCAACAACTGCTTGGCCAACATGCCTGCAGGTAGGATTATAGCACTTGGATAAGGATTATGATGATTGGCGTGGGAACTAATGTCCTCCATACAACTTCTTGACTTTTTTTATTTTTTTATTTTAAATTAGTCCTCACATCTCAGCTCTGTTTAATGTGCTAGAAAATTCTTCTCAACCTGGCATGAACCACCAGTCTGTGTGATGCAGAATCATTATTGTAAACAGGTGCTCTGGTGGGATCATTTGTTACAGATCAATTTTCCATGCTTCAGCCAGTCCCTTAAGTCCTCTAAATGCCTGCTGACTCACGTAGCCCTGCAGAAGATTTAGCCTTTTTTTTTCTTTTTCTGGCAGGGGGGGAACAACTCTTAAATAAACTTTTGCTTTCTTTTGGTCTTTTCAGCTAACAGAAACCCACCATGCTTGTCCAGACCTCAGTCGTTCCTGTGGGTGACTAAATGGGTTGACTACTCGAACAAATATGGGTTTGGCTACCAGCTTTCAAACCAAAGCATAGGTGTTCTCTTCAATGAGGGAACCCACCTTAGTCTTTGTGACCAACGCAAGTAAGTAAACAAAAAAAGTTGGTAGCAGAAACTGAATAAATCGAATATATGCATTATGTTATGTCCATTTGGCTTTTGCATAATTGTTTTTGTTTTTTTCCCTAAACAGAACGGTTCACTACTGCTTGACTAACAACGAACACTTCGCTTTCCCAACCAACGCCCTACCTGTGCAGCTTCGTAGCCAGAAGCGAATCGTAGACCACATGGCCAACTATATGGAACAGAACCTTATGGAGGTGTGGGAATAGTCGTTATTTTGAAATGGCCTTCATTAGTTTGTTGCATCACTGTTCATTTGGGTGGCATTTTCTCATCAAATATATGATATTTAATGATAAAGCCAGTCATGGCAGACATCACTTGATCTTAGACGTGATCACTTAAACATTTGTCGTCCTCAGGGTGGAGATCTGCAATGCGATGAAGCACTTTCGGGTCCTCCCCCTCTGCTTCTCCAGTGGGTAAAGACTGACCATGCTCTTGTCATGCTCTTCAACAATGGCACTTTACAGGTAAGAATCGTGTTCATTTCCCTTTTTTGATGTTCTACGGTCTCTATATTTTTCTCATGTATGTATTTTTCTTTTTCTTTCTTAATTCTCTTCCAGGTTAATTTCTACACAGACCACACAAAAATCATCCTGTGCAAGTCATCCGACGACTCGTACTTGCTCACCTACATCAGTCGGGAGCGCGTCTCGTACACATACCTCCTCAGCATGCTGAATGAGATGGGCTGCACCTCTGAGCTCCGTCACCGCCTCAGATACGTGGTCCAGCTGCTCCAGCACAACAAAGATGCCTGAGCGCACAGCTCCATGCCTCGCAGGCCACCCGAGCGGCAGATACCTTCTAGGCAACCTGACCAGGTCTTTCTTAGTCCGACCAACTGGTTGATTTCTTACAGGCTTCCAGGGAGAGGTGCTGAAGTCTGTAGGTGGATGAAAGGCTTTTTAACTCCACCGACTGACATTCTTATCCGGACTACTGTCTAGATTACCAGATTGACTGACTCTGTTGAACATTGAGCAGTCGGGAAGTTGCCCTAAAGTAGCATCTGCCTCGAGGGTTTGTGCCTGTCCAGCTTATGCCTCAAAGGTATCCACCTGGAAAGTATTGATATCTGTAAGAAGAGTTAATACCTTTTTCACAAAATGATGGATCCATCATAGGCATATGCCTCCATAAGCACCCAGTTACCTTCCCTTATTCATTCATCTTTGAATCTCTTCAAGCCTGCAGCTTTCAGCCTCCATTGATAGATGACTACGCAGGCATGGTTTTTCAAAGGTGTCTAAACACTAAAACTGTCCAGATGGCTTGTAACCGAAAAAGGGGAAATCTTGTGGCTTAAATGCAGTCAGGCTCACTTTTCCAAAAGCATTTTAGCAGCAAGATATTTCCACTGTTTACTTCAACTGTGATCTTTCAACATAGATGCTATGGGAACAATGGTTTGACTGGAGAGAGGCCCTCCTACCCTCGGTGTGTTTCTGGCCCGCCCAGACTGTGGTACTCGCATTATTCTACCCACCCCCCCCTCCCTTTTCTTCCCAAAGGAAGCCAGCTATAGGATCACTTTAGATCTAGACCTCACAGACACAAACATTTATGGCCTTATTTCATGATGCTGTTTATGATGCTAAAGTTTTGAGCAATTTATACTTTTCCAACCACAATTGCCCTATATTTATTTACCTTTTACGTTATTAGCCATGAATTCACTGATGCGGTACCCAGCAGGGACTTTTGGAGCAACACAGTTATGCACTTTCCCCCCTTTTTTATTTCATTTTTTTTCTTTTTATATAATCTGAACATTTCTTTTACCATCACATGTCATGTTTTAGTTGTTTTTAACTAAATGCCAAATGGATTGGTTTTTTTAAAACGATTCAGTTTTAAATTCACTTATGTAGGTGAATGTTGGTAAAGAGCTGTTGGTTGGAAAAAACAAAGGGTTGGGAGGGAAGATAAAAGTGCCTTTCTGAGGGATGACTGTATAGTGCAATAACAACCTTTGAATGTCAAGCTGGCGACAAACAAGATTTGAGATGGGTTTAACAGGTGGGATTTACTTTTTACTTTGAGCCAAGTTTTAAAGTAAATCCAGTAGCACTACACTCTCAATACCCAGTATAAGCTTTTAGAGCAACTGTTATCATGAATATATATCCCAGTAATATCTATTATGGAAAAAAAGAAAACATTCTACTCTGTTGTACTGTACTGTAATCCTTTATCGGTTTACATTGCTTTCTTTATCCAGAGTTGTATCCTAAAAACTGTGACCTGGAATGCAAGTATTACTTACATGTGTTTCCCCCAAAAAACCCAACATTGTGAAAGCCATCTGCCGATTTAGAAGAGTCTTTATTATTATTTTTTGGCACATAATGTTCTTTTTATTTATTTTTATTTATACATGCTTTTTTTATTTATTGTGTAATATTGTGGTCTTGACACAAATGTTAAATGCCAATCACTTTTTTGTATGTTACATTTTGGGGGATATTGGGACTAAAATAAAGTTTATTGAAAATTACTTGTTTTGCCTCAGTTGCTCTTATTTGGATGAAAATCTCAGAAATTCTTAAGCTTCGTTTGGTCAGCAATGCTGTATGAACAGAAGTCCAGTTGAATCAGATCAAGCCTCTTCAGTCCTTTTTTTTTTTTTCTTTTTTTTTTTTTTTTTTTTTTTTTCTTTTTTTTTTTTTATAGATTTTTAACTCGGCTGCCAGATACCGTGATAAAATGACCGTACATCTGTTTTTGTGCAGCTAATTTATGGACAAGACAGACAGCTGGCTAAAATTATTACAATTTTGGATCACATCAGGAAACGAGGAACAACTGAAAAATCCCCAGTGTGAAGAGGAGCTCTTTACTTGAATGTACCACTTCTGTTCAAGGGAATGGGTTTGTAGTGTTTTGATAAAAAAAAATGAGATGGGAAACTATTTTTTGTCAGATTACTGTGGCACAAAATAATGCTCATTAACAAAGACTACCATACCATTGCAACAACATTGTAAAGTATGGTTTTCCAAAAAGGATGATATTTAAAGCAAAACTTTAAATAGCAAAAACTGAGGACTTCCTCTAATGGAAAATGGGGAAAGCCTGAAGAACCGATTGACCTTAACCATCATTATGAGTAATCTCATGTCACTTTGTTTTCTGCATTACAATCAATTCTAGTGATAAAGAAAAGCATTTTGACACTGGTTTTACTTTTGAGTTCCTCAAATCATCAGGCAGAAAATAACTATTTAAACAGTGTCACTGGTGAGTGCCTTATCTATGCTTGGTGCAAGCATGAAAAAAAAAGTTTTCATTAACAAAATGTCATTTAAGCCTGTATAGATGTGGAAAATGTGTCAAAAGGGCATGGGCAAAAGTGTTCTGTGTTAAATGCAACATGTAAGCTGATCAGCCTTAATGTGCTGGGGATAAAGGTTTGTTTTCAAACACTCATAGCATAGTTTAAGCATGATCAGATTTTCAGTAAAAATGCACCGGGGGAAAAAAAGAAAGAAAGCAAAGCATTTGGTGTTATCTCTTTAAACCTGCTTGGAGTATCATCTAGGACACGCCAAAGCCAGATAAGGAAGAAACCATTTATGCTTATGACGTTAAAAAAAGAGCCTCACATTGTTGTTAAAGCTTGAGAGGCACGTCACTTTGAAAAGAGATACACATTATCAGCAATCTTGACATAAGAACCAGTTGATATGTTTACAGAATAACAACCAAAAAAAAGTTTAAATGATTAATTTAATCGTTTGCTTTATCTGAGTCAATGAAAAAACTCCAACACACAGTTTTGACTATGGATGAATGATTTCACACATACAAACATATGTGTCATGTTGCCTGTCCCATTAGAGCACATTTCCATACTATAAGATGCAGACATAAGCATCAACTATCAACCAAACAAAACAAAACTGTGAAAATGTCATTGGGTGTATCAACTGTAAAATGACCTGTGTGGTAATCACTATTCATAAGTGAGTCAGGTAACACTTATTTCCGTCTGGGATTATTGAAGTATTTCTGATTTTGATTCTGATGTCTGTGAGTTGTTGGACTGAATACAATATTAAGTTGTGGACAGTACAACATGTTACATTCTAAATCATGGATGCTTAATGCGTGAGTATTTTCCCAAGCCAGATGAGGGATCAGTGTATTCACCATAAACTATACACAGAAATTTGTCACCTATTTGTTGTGCAACCAATTGAGAAGTAATGATGACGTTCCAATGTTGCAATCAGTTTTTTAGGTCAGATGTCATTTAATAACGCTGGATGATTTAGGAAAAACGTCATGACCTAGAAGAAAATAAGCTCTCCTGTTCCTCTCCGGTCAGCAAACATATTATGTGAGAACGTGAACAAAACATAAGGAATACAGCACTCAAAGTGGATATTTGTTTCCCTAAACAAATTTCCTAAATACATCGTAAATATAGTAATATAAACCAAACATCACACACCGAGTGCATTGAGAATGTATGGTGCATACGTTTAGAGTATTGGTCATTACTTTGGTGATTGAGCTATTTATATTAATATCTGCGGATTTACTAAATTCCTGTGAAAATAATGTGACACATTTCAACACATGAAGCCATGTGAAAAAAGTAATCAGACAAAAATACTGAAAGCAAGTTGTTTATTCTGCATAGCAGTTTCAGTTATAAAAGGTTTAATTGGTGCCTACTGTGTGTGCCATGCCTGAATGGCTTTGTGCCAATCTACCCTCAGCAGTGTGATTTCTTTCTCAGCCTGCAGATTTTGAAAGTCATCTCTCCTCTCCTTCCTTTACTGGTTCAAATCATCATGCAGGAAAGAGTCTCAACAATTAGCAGTGTTTGACAGACCATCAATTATTACTGCTAAGGTTACAATTAAATTTCCATAGTCTGCTGATTGAAATGAGGTTACTTTGTCACTGTGATGGAATTCTGTTGTGTGTTGTTGGAAGAAGGTGACTGTGATGATTGCAAACACGGATAGCTCAGTCTGGGGTCACACACTTGCAATAATAATTTAGAAACAGGAAGTTAATTAGATTTTAAAAACTGCAATGATGATTATAACCCTCATCCTTGACTTATGAAAGAAAACATTAGTTTACATGGGTGTATATGTCTGTAGGGTGTTAGCATATAACATATATATATATACATAATATTCCCATAATACCTGCTGCATGCAAGAGAATAATTCTCCCTAATCATAAGCAAGGGAGGTTTCCTCACGCACTCAAACAACTGATTTTATTTCCTGTGGAAGTATACACTTGAAACCCATGCCCTAGTCTTGCATATAAAAAAAAGAAACAAAGAGATTAAAAAAAGAAACTTCATACTCAAGAGAGCAACAGCCCAACCTGATACAGATGATATCTCTTAAGTGTTTCCACTTGAAGTGTATCATTTTCCATGAAGCCAAAACTCGATGTTTCTTAATGTCTGTTGCAGATTAGATTAGATTTAAGACTAGTATCATCGAGTAAGCATGTATACTTGTTTCATCCCGTTGCCAGGTATCCGTGAATCTAATCAATATTAACAACACCTTTTAACTTACATAATCAAAATTCTATCCTCAGCTGTCAAAATAGATTTTCTCTTTTCATCATCACTCCAATCTAACGTGTGTTGGGTTATTTTACTTATTTCTTTCTTTTCGGAATTCATAAAAAATGGCTTGTACTAAGAACTGGCCTTATGATTGTGTAGTGAAATATATGCTCAGATGCGTGTGATGCTCACATTAGCGCCGTTTTGTCCTGAAGTTAATGCTAAACTTGTTTAAGAGTGCTTAAAGTGATTATGTTCCCTTTGAGGACAACGTGTTTCCCCCTCACATTTACGGGAAGAATTACTGCGGCTATCCATAAAATCTTTGAGGAAAGGAATGCAAGGCTCGGCAAAGTGGGTGGCGTTGCTGAAGAAGTCTCTTCCCTTCCCCTGTTACTGTTTCGCTGACCCTTGACCACATCTTTTTCTGATTGTAACGTCCGGGAGTCTCTGTGTTTGTGCTGTGTGTGGTGTATCCCTCATGTTGGACCTTCATGCTGATGTCACAGACCTGCCCCTTGGAGCAATCAGCCCATCACGCACACTTATGTACGTCACATCCCAGTGCTACAGGAAATGTGTGTTTCCTTTTACAAGTCTCCTTCTGTTTCCCATTAAAACCACAAAGGAGTATGTCATCCACTTTTGTGTGGCCATGCTGAGATTTTCTGTCCAGGCTTCAGCTAATCAACCAGAACTTCAGAAAGGATGTCCTTTACACTATTGAGTTGTTGTCAGATGGTAGTTTGCAGCAGTATGACTCTGTCTAAGAGAACAGACGTTTGACAATATGCCGGCCTGGCAGAAAATGCATAAATGTCTGTTCTATCAGGAATCTGAAGCAGGGTGGTCTATGTGGCACAGGACTGAGAGGGCTAGCAATCCATTAGTACAGTCCAAGTAGTTTGTAGAAATTAACTTGATGTTTTTCAAAATCTTAAGGTTAGTCAGAGAAATGGGCCTCGGTGCTGCAAATAATAGTAATACTAATTCATATCTGGAGTTTTTCCAGGCTCCAGATCCTGTTGGCCAGCTTTGTTCTTTCTGTGTGCAGACCAAAGACAAAAATGTTAGTTTTACTGTGGGTTCAAAATTCGATGCAACAACAACAATCTCCACACCCAACTTATCAACATTGTATCACGTTAACAATCTGAAATGACATCCCAAAAGGTTTGAAACGTGTACAAAGTACATGTTAAATTGAATTGTGATGCAGCTCCTTGTGACCCCTCTCAGGACATGGCCATACAAACAGGGTTGGTAATTGATTCTTTGGGCTCCGTGGGTTGCTATTAGGAACCTATGGATTGAGTTTGTTAGACCACCTTCAGTTCAATCAGGATAGGCAACAGCCAATTTGTTTTTGTCATTGTTGAGGCTGCCTCTAAGCTGGAGAATTTTGCACATTTTTCTTCTTTTGAGGTGTACTGTTACAAGATGTGTATGGACCACAGAAATGTCAAGGTGGGAGGTGTTTTAACGTCCACATAAATTCCAGGTGAATGAATTGTCCGGCTTAGAAACTGTGAGGGCTAACTATTTAAAAACGCAATCACTCAAACTGAAAGATCAAATACACAGACCGCAAGTTCATTTTTAGGTTATGTTTGATCTTCTCTCAATTTGCTATTTTGAAACACTCCACCGGGTGCCGTAGAAAGATGCATCCTGTGTTTCATGTTGAATTTGCTTTTCCTGATTTTCTAGCACGCAAGTCTTGTGTCTGCTCGATCTTGGTCTTTCAGATGTGGTCATTATTTATCCTAACTAATGACCAGCCGCATTGTGTCCTGCTGTGACAACAGAACATGAAACAGCACTAAAAACCAAAGTTGAAGTGGTAGGAAGTAAAACATCTGGTGTCAAGGAGGCAAATGAGAGGAGAATGAGAGGGGGAGAATTCAGCCAGACATCTAACTGCGGTGGGACAATTTTTCCTAATTAGAAACTTCTGTTTTCTCCTGAGCCTTCTCTATCCCCACCCCTATTCAGAATGTGGATGTGTATATGTGAGAGCCTTTGTAATGCTCTTTCCTCATGAAATGCAGCCAAGGCCACAAGCCAAGGCTCGCATGAGTATGTGCAGGCGGATTTTTGCTTTGGATGGTTGATTTAGCTAGTACTTCTTTCCTCTCAGGAACAAGCAATGCTGAGTCATTGCCATCATTTTCATCACAATGCTTCCCTTCCCACAAGATTGTGTTCCGACCTGGTGCATCATAATGCATTGTTCTGCCTGGCACATTCATTTTCCCAGATAGTTTTCTTATCTTTATGGTTTTCCCATCTACTTCTGCAACAATGAAAATTATGTGTTCCTCCATGATATCCTATTTTAAGACATAATAGTTATTTGAGGTTTAAACTGTTTATTGGTTATTTTGCTGTTTTCATATCATTAAATATTGTCATTTTGCGGGCCAACTTTTTAATTATTCTAATTGACAAAAATACTGTAATAAATCCTAAGAATGGAAAGTTTCTTACAGGCACCTTGTGGTTACTAGAGATGTGGGAAGGTTTCTTTTTCATAGGTATGCCTGACATTTGACATTTGACAGTGTATGAAGTGTCAATTCCCATCTATCAGCCATTTATTTAAACAATTCAATACAATTGGGATAAGCTGCTTGATTAAAATCTTGCCAAAGCCAGTAAAGAGATAAAAAAGAAGAAACATTTCTGATTAAAAGCCAGGCAATTATTTTGTATTCTTTTTAGTGAAAATATGGCTCTCCAGCACTAATACGGCTAGTGTTATAGCAAGATCAATGTTAACCTCATTAGGGGCAGAAAACACAGTTTGTCTCCATATATGAAAGTCCAGTAAACACAAACACTGGGTATTTGACTCTGTACCTTTTCCATATAAGTTAAAAGGGTATCAAGGAGCCTACTCTCATGGCTGAGACTTTTTGAATGAATTGATTGTTGCCATTTCTAAAGCTTCAGAAAAAAATAAAATGTTAAAAAGCTAAATAGTTCTCTTGGACATATACAGGCCACACTTTGAAATCTTTGCCATTTTTCACAGACTTATACCATCAGTGTTGAGCCAAATGCCAAAACATGGGGATGGAAAAGCCTGGAATCCCTTAACAATTCAACTGGGTTACATAGTGAAGTTTATCCCCTCAACTACATTATTTATGATCCTTTCAGATAACTGCACATTTATGTCTTGATGGGTTTGCCTCTTTCCGCCTCCACAGATACAAATTAGTCTTAAAAGAAGATGTCATTGTAATGCTAAAAGTGTTACTTTGTTATATCTCTCCAGTGTACAGTTAGAAAAATGTACATGACACATGAACGGTAATGGTAAAGGACCATAAGCTTATAAGCTTTTGAAAACCTCCAAAAATGTGCTGATATGGACACCATAGATGTTCTGGTGGCCTTTACTGCACTCAACACACAGTCAAGTAAACTGTAACTGTCTTCAAGTTACCCGAATATGTGTGAGTGTGTGAGATGTGCAAGGGCGTATAGTGGCACTTCAACAATGAGTTTATGTGTACGGGTTGAAGCAATCGAAAACTATTTATAGAGCTGAAAAGTCACGGGGGGTCTGCAGTGCTTATGTTGTACTTCGCGGAAATATTACTATGGGTGACTTACTTCCTGTGGTGCTGAAAGAAAACACACGCGCACGAACATAATACACACGCCATCCTGTTTGTCAGGTGTCAGAGGAAGCTAGAAACAAGCCCACACAACAACAAAGTTTTGAAAAAAGAAAACAAAAAACACCCACGCGGCACCTTCTTTTTTTGTTTCCATCAGTTATGAAGATCAATTCAGTCTGTTGCAGTTCATCACTGTTGCAAAACCAGTACATGTCTCAGATGTGTCTATCAGTACACGCTGCGCATTTACACTCTGAGATAAAAATAAATAGTGCATATGGGGAGCTCACGTTGAGTAGAGAATTGGGCTACACTTTCACTCGTATAGTAAAAATGGAAGATGTAAACAATATATGCATGTGAATTTGTCAGCCCAGGCAAACAAAATTGTATCATTATTATTTATCATTATCTGTCAGGAAAATAATGCAAAAGTGAAACACGGCACATTATGTCTTGAAGCAATTAGCCAAAGTAGCATTAGACAGCCCTCCTGGCACATGTGAGCAGGATTCTCAGCCTGCAAACGACAGGACTGGACAAAGTCGACTTTTTACAGGACCAGTGAGTATCAGTTTCTGCCACACAACATGAGTAACACACCTTGCCCTTGTCCCTCACTGCACTGAAAAGGTTTCCAGAGTCACCAGATCTTAATCCAGTTTAGCCCCTCTGGGAATTGGAGCAACGATAATGCTGCTGAACATAAAATCTCGGGAGCTGGTCTAGCGCTTTTTTTTGGTCTGTGCAAAGCAATCCTGCAGGCAAAACCTAACCCAATATCAATATGATATCACAAACAGATATGGCTGGGGAGCATATTCAGCTGCTGTCGACACTTCTTCTGTCGTTTGCAAAGAATAAGACTGAACTTTTCAGCTTTATGGAGGTAGCATGTCTACACCCTTGAATTATGTGGGACAGCCTGTGTGAGAGGCTGTTAATTTACTAATGTCTTTGGTGGGAAGAGACTGTGCTGACTAGACAGAAACACACAGCCCTGTGAAACAGATGGCCAGAAGGCAGTAATGCGGGGAACACGCAGAGACTCTGTATAAGGTTTTCTGAAGGGATTTCACAGGGCTTTAGCGATATTACTGATTAAACAACTGGACCATTCAAACTGATAAATGGGAGGAATTAGGCCTATTAGTAGCATATCGGAAGGACAGTTTAAGCATATGTGATTTAATTAACGTAAAATCCATGCACTGAATATAAAATCTAATAGTCTACTGCCCAAATTTAATACCAGAAGCACAACAAAGTCAGACAGTTCATGTGACCGAGTGGGAGACGTGACAGGGCAGACTGCTCGTCCCATTCTGAATGAGATCATTAAGAATTGACAGATCAGCAGCCTCTGCGTTCATCTGATTACAGGGAGTCACCGGCCAGGTCAACCAGTCACATGTCTGACGCAAACCCTGAAAACAAAAAAAAAAAGTTATTATTATCAAAGGCCAGACAGCTTTATCTGCGCTTCATAGATGCATCAACTGAAAATAGAGACATTCAGTTCACACCTACAAATCAGCACCAAGAAGAAACGAAAGTCAGAGTTCGAAATGGTCAAATAAAAACACAGCAATTTAAAGACACTTTATCTAAGGGGCACTTTTGCCTCAATTCATTCACACTTATCACACAGTCTTCATCATCTGATCCACTCTCATCAGATATCACAGGAGAGTCTGCTGACATTTTATTTAAGCAACAGAGGCTTCAAGCTTATATGGGGCAACTCCAAAAAACCTGTCCCCATGACGATATTGTCTATTTTGTTTAATCCTGCATCTCTTCCCTTGGTAATTCTTTGTCATGCTTGATTCAGCATTACTCTGTGAAGTATTACTTAAGTCATTCCTCAGTGAGAGGCTCACATGATCATCATGTGGCATATGACCATATGGGGAATATATGAAGCAATTTCTACAGCTTGTCATCTGTGTTTTGGGGAAATGTGGTGGAAAATTGAAACTCCCGAAACCACATGAGAAATAATAAATTAAGTATATCTCAAAAATTCCAAATAATAGTCTTTGCATAGGCATAGATATTGTTTTGATGAAGAAGCTCACATAAGCAGTCAGATTAAGGTGCAGTCTCTTTCAGTTTCTGCTTTTCACAGTTAGCAGTTTCCATAACGAAAAACTATGTATTTTTCACCATGCAATCTGGGCAGACAGTGTTCTTTGTTACCTAATTTAGCCTCCTACTACAAGTGTTCTTGAGCCCATCAATAGAAAAATAGCTTTTTGTGGGGCCAGACACCCTCAGCCCTCGGACACATTTCAATGGGACACATTGTCATCCGTCCATTTCTGTGTGGGGGTTATAGAAATACACCCTGTGAGGCTTTACTTGCTTATTCAAAGTCAAGACTGTGTACAAACACCACTGCCAGAAGCCATACATTGTCTTCTGTTATAAAATAATACTTACTGAAATGATTGGGATCTAATATTCAAATTGAAATGTAACATTTTAAACCTGGGGTAATTTTTATGGCATCAAAATGTCATATACTTTCTTCCCTTGTTCCTCTTCCTCTTTAGCCTTTCACCATTTCTCTTTCTGCTTTCCACAAACCCAAACAAACACTAACCCTAAAGAGAAATTCCAGACTGGGCTGACAGATAAGAGGGGAAATCCCGTCCCTGTAGATCATCTGACAAGCTTACACTTACAGGGAGACAATTTTCCCACAGACACAGAGCTCTGATCAAAAGCTTGTGATAACACAACATGCCAGACACTTCACTCTTTGGAAACTTACGGGCAAATGGTTGATCTACAAAATGGGAAGTCTGTTTGATGTGATGTTTCTCTTAC